ACTCACAGGGTCACCAGCACTCAGAGCTGACCCAAGAGCATATAACAACCAATCCACAAACCTGTTAGTTACTTTTCATTTCTAGAACCTTAATAAAGCTTCGTTTATAATTGGGTTTATTTCTAAATCAATTCTAAAAACATGTCTTTACAATAGTGAGGCGTCTTCATGAACATGGTGTCACTATTTGTATTATTTAACAAACTTTAATGATGATTTATAATCTCTATATGTTATGAGTATCTTTTGCTGGATTGGTTTTCCTAATGACTTGGTATATTATGAATGTTACGTTTAAAAACAGAATTTTAAATATTCTCTGCAGCAATGAGGAAATGCAACTAATTTTTAGATTAAATATTGACCCTATATTTAGCAGCCCTGACAAGCTATTTTATTTTTTCTAATAATTTTTCATTTCATTTCTTTACATGAGTTTAGTATTTCTACTTTTTAAATTCTGTTTGCCTTTGTTTTTTTCTTTGTTCTTTTAGCTTCATCCTCCAATGACTTTTTACCTAAAATGGACAACATTGGACATCATTGCCTTTTATGTGTTTTAAAGTAAATATCACTAATCTTTTTCAATCTTAAATAGTAGTTGTAATTGCTTTTGAGCCTCCACGTGCAACTTATCTGGTTTACCCTGCGCCATTATTGACAGAGAAAATCATAGGAAAAAAATAACACTTGCAATGATGAATTTTTGGAACACAAATTAAAGAAACTAGGTCATAAACTTATTCATTAAATTGCAAAAAACCAAACATTAAAGGTGATTGACCCCTATTTTTTTATTTTACTTGATGATCCACAAATTCTTAATGATAATGCTACCATTTTATGAGACAGACACTCTATTGAAAGTGAATACCCAATGAGCCTCCTTATCAAAAATCTTTGGTGAATTTTTTAGCTTAAATTCAAAGAAAATGTACAGTAATAATTAATGAACAGATCAGTACCACAAATAATTATTATCTTGACGGAGAAAAAAACTTGATGACTGTGTGAGAACGATATGCGGATTCCTCTCCATATTAGCCCCGCCACCTTCAACAAGTGTGCCCCAAGAATTGTAAAACATGCAGTACCTGACTATTTGGTCAGAGGCTCTGACTTATTTCCCTTTATATTGTCAAGTAAACACACATGACGACGGCTGATACAAAAACAGCCATCCAATGTGAATCAATCAAAATTATACCTATTCATTGTCAGATCAGCAAAAATATAATATATATTTTCAGTGTGCCACAGATCTTTAGTAATTATTTTATGTGTGTCATGAGATGAAAAAACTTGAAAATAGCTGTTTTAGTGTAAAAGTTCCTTTGAAAATTGCAAATTCTTACTTTTGATGTTGGGCTAAATACAGGCCTCAGCATCAGAATATTTCTTACATGTTATTTCTTATTGAATCTCAAGAGAAATCAGTAGACATTAGAGCTATTTAATTAATCAACATATTTTTGAATCTTCAGTATTAAAAAAACCTATATGTGTATTCTAGCAAAGTAAATGATAAAATAAAAAACATATTTATTTTACATTTTTATTTACAATTTCTTACACGCATTTGCTTTACTAACTGAAATAAATGATTAGAGTAAAATAGAATTATCTTGAGGTCGATCCTCATAGAAATGATATGCATAAAAACAGTCACAGCAGTGAAAACCCCAGGTCGTTTTTGTAAAAACAAATTATAGTTGGCATACGGTATTACATCCGTTTCATCATTTTGCTTGAAAGTGCAGTTTTAATACACTCACAATGAAGAAGCAAAGTCAAAAAATTTATTACTTACAGAAATGGGGATGCAGTGGGGGACACAAAAAAAAGAAAAAAACAGTCACAGTCTAAGAAGCAATGAATCATACATCATATAATTTTTAAAACTGACAAAGATCTCCACATTTAAATTTTAAAACCTAATTTAAAATGTAATTTAAATGTTGAAATAAAGTATAAAATAAAAGCAAAATGTATTTCTTCATATATTGACTTACCCACAAATATTTATTAAATGCTTACATTATGACTGGCAGTGTTCTATTAACTTGGTCAATTATTGTAAGTTTGTGCTCTAAAATTTTATTAGCTAATTTAAAAATAGACAAATATGGACAGACAAAATGGCAAGTTGTTATTAATCGGCCCCATTAATACTATGGAGTAGATTTTTATAATTGCAAGTTTCAGTCTACATTTCATGTAGTAGTCTTTAAAAATTTTTAATTACACATCATACAACAGTCGTACCTAATAAAATTCACGACATCCACAAAAGAATGAGTATCTCTGTTAGGTAAGGTGATTAACAAATACATTTGGCCCTTTTAAAATTATGCTCTCTACCTCCATTTTACATCAAATTTCTTTTGATAATACCGAAGAAAGTGACCCATAAAAACAGAACTTAGGAGAGCATTATGCTAAGCGAAATAAGCCAGGGGGCGAAAGACAAATACCATATGATTTCACCTATAAGTGGAACCTAACCAACAATACAAAGATGCAAGGAAAATAAGACCAGTAACACCGAAAGGAAAAGAAATCAACATAGAGAAGAGAGAAGGAGGGAGGGGGGCGGGGAAAAGGAAGGGAAGGGGAAAAAAATAGAGAACTTACTTTGTATATTATAAACTGTAAAGTCCCTTTGAAAATTTGCATAATTATACTCGGGAAGAGTATGACTGTCAGAACACTGGAGTTTATCTCTTATGCACCTTCTGTGAAAGTCAACATCTGTATTACCTCATAAGAAATTCAGAAGAAAAGCACAGTAAATACATTAAATAAACACATAAATAAATAGAATTAAGAAGTGTGCACAGATATCAATCATGGGGTAGTTTCTACAGGCATGATGGCAGAATCTTTATATTAAATTTTGTATTAAATTTCATGGAGTGAGATTGGTTAATGAAATTGTATAGGCTTCAGGTGTATAAATCTATAATATTGCACCTCTATATTTTAGTTGTATTAACTGCCCGTGGTCAAGTCTCCTTCCTTCACCATTTATTCCCCCTTTACCGTCTTCTACATCCCCCTACCCATCCCAAGCAATACTTTCATGATGTTACAGATCTTTCTTTGGAAACACAAAAACTCCACCTGCTCTGATGACTGGAAGTTTGGATTTACTAGAAGATACACATATATATGTATATTGTTTGTATGTACTTATATGTGTATATATTATAGTACACATATGTGTGTATGTGTGTATTTTTAATATACATTTAATCTTCCAAAGGAACTGATCTAAAATGAAACAAGACAAGAGAATTTAATAGCTGGGAATTAACGCTTTTGTTAAAGTCTGGGTTCAAGTCAATTCTTCAACTTGCTAAGAATTTGTCCATTGGAGAGTCCTTTATACCTTGAGGTGTTGCTTTATTCACCTGCACAATGTGTAAAATAATAATACCTCCCTCAAAACACTGTTGTAGAAACTAACTGAGGAGGTACAGGGAGAAGTGTAATACAGAACTCAATGCATTATGAACTCTCTGTGCATTTGGACACCTAGTGTGTTTTCTTCACTGTTGTTTTACTTGCATATTTAGTCCTAGAAAGTCGGTGCTGTCATTGCCTTCTAGCATTAGAATCACAGACAATAATGGCAATAAGCCAAAGCAGTTCTGTAATCATGAAAAAGAAGTTCAGTTTTCTTATTCACTGTCTTGTTTGATCAGGATATATTTATTTAAAACACCATAGAATATATTTACTTAGTTCATCCTTCTCATTAATTTCACTCAAGAACAGAGTTGCACTGAAGTTTCAAGTGCCTCAGACAAAGGAAGAGGCTATCCTCCCGAGACCCCATGACACGCAAATACTTGGAAAAAGGGAAGAATGATAATCAGGTAGTGGGCTCTGACCCATTGCATATAGACTAAAAATACAAAGAAAGGGCAATGAATATAGCCCATTAATTTTTTCTATCAGCTAATGACATCAAATTAATACAGAGATTAGGAATCATTTCATGATGCAATGTGCGATTCCATATAAGTGCATGTGATTATATTTTATTTTATTTTGAGACTGGGAGTTTCTGCCCTTGGAGGATTGACTCCACAATTAAACCCTATAATCTATTCCCTGCAGTTGCTCTATTTTCTTCCAGGGAAACAAAATAAAAGTGCAGCATCATGTGTTTACACAGGAGTCTCAAATGTTTACCAATAGCTAATTCAAATATTCATGCATTTCATTTATTAAGTGAATTATTTTATTTTTAAACTCCAAGTGAGAACCACTAATAAAAGAGAAAGAAACAGGCTACATGAGAAAGACACTGGGAAGGAAGCTCACACGAATATTATTGTCATTTGCTGAGCTGAACAGGTACTGTGTCTGCTACAACATGACATTAATTGAATAGTGTACTCTGTACAGAGGACAATTATTTGGTTCATGTTTAAACACTACAAAATAATTCTATAAGGTATGACAGATGTCCAAATATTGGTTATTTCAATATATTACTATTTTTGCTTCTTGTGATACACGAGACATTTCTGGAAGACAATGCATGAGTTTTGGAGTTGAAGAATAAACAGTGTGCTCTTCAGGGGAAAAGCAATGGATCTTTGTGGCATTTCATACTTTTCAGAGACTGGAAAAGATGACAACAGAAATATTTGCATCCTTTGTATTTTGGATGTGGGCTGGTAGAGAAGAACATTTTTTGCACTTGCAGAAACTTCAGTGGAATATGTGGTCTGAGACCAGTAATTTGAGGGACCTACAATCAGATTTAATGAAGTTAGTAGCTTCATAAATTCAAAAGCGTCCCTATTTACCCACTAATTCTCCACTTTCTCAATCACTCTATACACTATGATGTATTAACCTAGAGATTTTTTTCCCATGTGTGATAACCTCATTAATATTCCTACTATTTTTTGTAGCCTTTGGAGAGAGAAATATCTACACATATACAAATTTGAGCAAATTGTATTTGTATGTATTTGTAATACATGACCAGGGCAAACTATACTTTGGTGACTGAGTTCATCCTGCGGGGGTTAGCAGACACCCCGGAGCTACAGGTGGTCCTCTTCTTGCTTTTCTCTGGGATGTACACACTGACAGTTTGGGGGAACATTGGGATGATCCTCTTAATCAGGATGGACTCCCGCCTTCACACGCCCATGTATTTCTTCCTGGTTAACCTGTCCTTCGTGGACATTTGCTACTCGTCCACCATCACCCCAAAGATGTTGGTGGATTTATTGTCAGAGAAGAAAACCATCTCCTTTGCTGGCTGCTTTGTGCAGATGTACTTCTTTATCGCCTTGGCCACCACCGAATGCCTCCTCTTCGGGCTGATGGCCTACGACCGTTATGTGGCCATATGCAACCCTCTGCTGTACCCCGTGGTCATGTCCAGGACAGTCTGCCTGAGAATGGCAGCAGGGGCTTTCACAGCGGGGCTCTTGAACTCCATGGTGAACACAAGCTATGTGAGCAGCTTGCCATTCTGCAGCTCCAACGTCATCCACCACTTCTTCTGTGACAGCCCCCCACTCTTTAAGCTCTCGTGTTCTGACACACACCTCAATGAAAGCATCATTTCCACTTTTGCAGGAGTGAATATGGTGGGGGTTTTGCTGGTCATCCTCGCATCCTACTCCTACATTCTCTTCTCCATCTTTCGTATGCATTCAGGGGAGGGGAGGCGCAAAGCTTTCTCAACTTGTGCCTCTCACCTGACGGCTATAATTCTGTTCTTTTCCACTGCCATCTATACTTATCTGAGACCCTCTTCCATGTACTCTTTGGGCCAGGACAAAGTGGCTTCTGTGTTCTACACAGTGGTGATCCCCATGCTGAACCCTCTGGTCTACAGCCTCAGGAATAAGGATGTAAAGGAGGCTTTGTGGGATGTAATTACCAGGAAAAGGATCCCATCATTTCGGTGACTGGTTATATATCTGAAACTAGTAGAATATTTCATGAACTTTCATTACGCCCTCAAGCCTACAGTTTTTCATTAGTATATTTTCAAAATAATTATGTTTTGTAATATTTAAGTATATTACCAGACTTACATAAGACCGGGTATCTTTCATCTAACCATTCTGTATCTTCACTGGTTCCTAAAATTAAAGCTCATTTAATAAAACCTTACTTAGTGAGAGGTATTGACTCTTTAGAGAAAGAAGTCACAATATCACCTGAAACTAGCTATAGTATTTGTAATTATGCATTCATTTTTCCTCATGTATTCTTTTCTTCACCATTTATAATATGTAAGGGATTACTGTACATCACATGTCAAAACGCAGTACATTGAAAATAAATATCCATTTTTAAATATTGAAATATTTCCTGGAAAAAAATACTTAAAATTCAGGCCTAAACTTTTAATTGCAACTATAAACTTTCCAACGTTTATTTTTCTCATTACTCCTAGGTTTATATATATTCTAATAAACAAGAATAATAAAAGTAAATAAATTTTAAAAATCTCTGTCTAGCACCCAGATTTCAGTCTCTATTTTCTTTCCCTTAAGTAAGGAAAATCAGAAGGGTTCTGGAAAATTTTATTGTTTTCCAGAAGCAAGAATAATTTCAAATACGTTTGGTCTGCAAGGACTATTCATCAAGCTTTAACATTTTTACATAAAGAATACAAATAATTATCACTGTAATTATTTGGAATACATTAAACACATGGAATCCCTTAAGTTCTTAGTGATAATAAAACAAGAAAAGTTAATATACAATGTACTAAAAGTGGTTGTAATTCAAAAAAAAGGATGAATGTAATTAAAGATATCTAATTTTTATTTATTTTCCTTTTCATTGAATTTATTGTGGTGACATTGATTAAAATTATATATAGTATTGTATATTCACCAAAAACAAAATGTGTGATTTGTACAAACATGTGATATCAAGAATATCATGGACTGATTAGATTGTACAAGTTACTACCATTTTATTTCCTTCCCTTGTCCTCAGATATTTCCAGTTCTCTCGATTTCTCTCTCCCAGACTGACACACACCCAGAAATCCACATGCATACACATTTAGCTGTTTGCAAAAAGTTTAATACATGAAGACTTCATTAAAAGAATCTGATACATATTACTTTCCATAGGCTCATGGGTTTTTTGCATGTAGAAATTTCTTACCGATTGTCAATAAAAATAAATTAAAATTAATCTCAATAGTATATCTAAGCATTATTGATATGTAGGTACACAGGGAGCTGACTTAGTAGAACCCTGGAGGAAACTGAGTGTGGGCCAGGGCTTGTTAAGGAGACAGCGATATTTACAGTTGTTAGAGGGAAATTTCCCACGACATTTCCCTTACCCTTGCTGTTAACGTCACACCTGATAGATGTTGTGATGAACAACTCATCTGGGATATGACATAGCAGAACTTACGGTTTGTCACAAAGAGGTCATCCAGCTTGACCATTCAAAATCCCCTCAATAATCCACATAGATGCCCTTCGCCAAACAAATATTCGTGAAGGTATTGGTGTTGTCTGTGCCCAGGAGCCATGCTCTCACCTCACATGGGTATAGCAGTTACCTGGCCCTGGAGGTTCTGCAGCAGAACGACCAGGCCATCCTCAGAGGTGGTTCACTCTTTCCTGAGCAGCTCGCCTATCTTTTCTGTACCAGCAGGTGGCTTGTTGGCAAGATTTTTGTGCTCTCCCTGCCTTGCTTATTTAATGGAATTATACGTGGGATATTTGACAAATAAAACTAATATTTTTTTCCATTAAATGCTTTAATTTCTAGCAAAACAGAAATAGAAACAATGTTTGGGAAATGAATCCAGTTTATTCTGGGATTTTAGACCTATCATACTTTAAGACATGTTCTCTATTCTCCAGTTAGCTCTCCTGCATTTAATTGATCTCATTTAAAAGGTCTATGAATATTTTCAATTTTGGAAGCTATTATAATTAATGATGTTTATTACTTTTTAATTCATTGAATATAAGTTTCTTATATAAATCTTGATTATTTCTTAAATCCATTAATATTTGTATATTTTCTTGCTTATTGTTCAAGCATTTACAAGAAAAAGTTCCAGATATTTTTACTCTCTTTAACTTAAAAAATTAAATTATGAAAGCATTAAGATACTTCTAATTTTTGTACTGAGTGTGATTTTTATCATTTTCTTCTTTCTTCAGAACTTGACAGTATTTATTAAAATACTCCCCTATGAATGTAATATTCTTTTTGCCTCTTTGCTATGCTATCTCCATTGCTTTCTGATTTTTCTAATATTCCCAGTCTTTTATTTTACTTGAATGTTTACTGTTACTACTGTATCATTCAGTGTTTTGCCTTATTCAATGGTTTTTGACTAATTTATTTATTGAAATTAATAAAATTTGAAATGTATGTCTTTAAGCTATGTTTTGGCCAATAGTTTCATCAGTGGTAGTATGAGGCCAGATAGAGAAAAGCTCACAAAACTCATGGCAAAGGTGGAAAAGTAAGCAGACCGGTTGAAAGGAGTAAAAGGATCAAGATCCAAGAATCACAAATTCCAAATAAGCAACTAAAAATAATCGCTAATAGATGGAGCCTGCATTTAGTCAGGAAAAAAAATGTGTGCAAACAGAAAAATGTTATTATATAAAAAATAGTTTTTGACTTGGTTTGTTAAATGTAAAGTAATATGACTATGTAAACTTTCATTGGTCTATTAAAAATGAGAGGATATGCATATTGTAAGCAATGATTAGGTAAAGGTTGGTACCTAGGTTAAGTGAAGTAATAGTTCCATTTAACTTCACAGTAGTCAAATAAAATCAAAGATAGTGTCCTAATTCATAGTCGACAAATTTCAATGGACAAAAATAAACAATATTATATCCAGGAGGTAATATCCTAGTTGTGGAGTGTATGGAAAATAAAATCAAATACAAAGTAGTTGAATTGGTGTGAGCATATGTAATCTCTAGAAGAGGAATGTGCAAAGAACTATATATTTATTGAAAATATATAGTTTTATTAAAATACATAGCTTTATAGAAACATTGTTAAATAGCTTTAAGGAAAATGTATGGAATGCATGTCAAATAGAATGTGTAGCATCAGAAAGCAGCAATGTGAATGCTTGTTGCTAATTTTAGATATAACTTACTGCTTTGGCTGAGAAATTGAAATGTATTATTTTTAATGTTCTCTTAAAATTTTTGTGATTTTAACTTTGTTGTGAAAACATTGCATATTTCCATGCACATCTTTAAATCTCAGAAGAGTTTTTGGTATATTTCAGCCACTTAACAAAAGTAATTACCTCAAGAATTAAAGAAAAAGGTGATAAATATTAACCAAAGTATTGTGAGTTTTTGCAAACAGAAGGTCAACCTGATGACGATGTATGTCAAAAACTCTGAGTTTCTGAATTGGGCTCCAAATCCTCAACCTACTGAAATTTTATGATTATATTTACCATTTGTTGTTAAACAAATTAATAAAATATAATTTATTAGCTAAGATTGTGTTGAGGATGTGTCTGGTTCGTTAATACACTAGGAAGTGAAACAGAAAGATGAAAAAAGGTACAGATTTAGGATATGGAAGGTTTATTCATAAATCTATAAAACAGAATAAACAGCATAAAAAATGTTAAAGTGAAGGTTTTATTTTGCAAATCATGAAATCATCATGCCCAAATCAGGTATTATGTAAGAGGACTGTGTGTCAGAAAAAAATTGTGTGCTAGATTTGGTAAGGTTTAGTTGAAAAGAATCAACAACACATTTTAAAAGTGACCAATAAAGCATATGTATCGCTGAGCGATGACACAGCTTTATCCTTCAGTAGCAGTGGACAATAGACATGATTAGGATGGGCTCCTAGAATGTGTCAACAGAGATCAAAAGCAGTGAAAAGAGACAAATTTTATTTTCAAATGGGCCATTGCCATTAATTTTTTTCTAGTATTAACAAAATTTGCAAAATACTGTTTTCCTGTTTCTTAATTTTAATTTTTCTCCTTGATAACGGACATGGACAATAGTGTGGAGATTGCTAGAAGGAGCGAGTATAAGGAGATAAAATGATAATGGAAAAAATACAATAAAGACTAAATAAAAATGCATGTATATTACAGTTTTCCCCTGAAGATAAGGCTGATAACTTTGGATGAGATTCATATGACATAACTATTTATTATTCATCTATTCAGATGAAAATAATATACTTGATGTGAAAAACACACACATACACACACAGTATTTTTAAAATAATGCCATGCTATTGAGAACCTTAGTATATATAAAAGTTTGAGTCATTTGGATCAGACTTGCTCCAAGAGGTTGTTTCCAGTGCACAACTTGCAGACACCTTGTAATTTGTCCCCTCTTTAATTCCACGTTCTTTATCAAAAGTGCAAGCTGTGACTCTATTCTCTTCTCATTTGTCAATTACAGGATTGTTCATGTCAGGAATGTTTTTAGCATGACTATACCTGTTATCTGGATTCAAATTGATTTCTGATGTTGCATTCTTGAATTTATAAATGGAATTTAAAAAGCACCAGTAGCAGCAACAATGAATTTGCTTATTGCTACTTATTTTGAGAGCTGCAATTCGCTAATTATTTTAAGAGAAACTGAATTAACTAGCACCCAACTACATTGAGCTTAATAATGCATTAAGAGACATAGAATAGCACGATAGCTAAGCAATTTCAAGCAAGCAAGAAGAGCAAAGGTGGAGGCATCACACTTCCTGATTTCAAACTGCAGGTGGGGCACAAATAGGTTCACAGTTGTTCATATGGAAAATAATACAATGATTAACAAATAATAATACAAGAATAATCTCCATTTTGCACACTCACAACTGTAACCTACTTTTGCCCCACCCTGTATATTACAATCTTAACAATCAAAGCAGTATGGTGTTGGCATGCAAACAGACACATGGATCA